CGGGACTGTCCTCCTGAGGCAGCAGAGAGCCAGCTCCTCACCCGTGGGCTGGGAGGGACAGGGACCTGGCTGGTATGCGTTTGACACAAGTCATGGGTGCTTGTTTGTTTCATCTACCAAGGAGACATTGGAAGTGAGTTATTGTCTTTGTGCCAGAGAGGTGCCTTGGAGGGCACAGGCTGGGTGGCATGTGGTGGTGGGGGGTAGTGGGAGCATGACTGCCAGTGCAGCAGGCATGGGCAGGGCCCTGGGCACAAGTACCAAGAGCTCCTGACGAGGAAGGTGGAGCCAGGCAGACAGACGGCTGGCCGCCCAGAGGCATCGACACTGCCCCGCCATGGTTTCTCAGCCCCCCAGAGTCAGAGTCCCCTGCCATGTAGGCGGCGGCATCAGTCCATGTACACCATGCTTCATGGCTCTGTATCAAAGGGCTGGTTCTTCCCCTGGCAGCTCTGGTTTTCCTCGTAGGAGCCAAAGCTGCTCTGACAGGGACTGCTTGATGGAGAGAAATTGCTAATGGAAGGGGCTGCAGCTGGCCGTGCAGCTGTCTGGCTCCCCAGAGGGAGCTCGGCTGCAGGCAGTGCCCCTCACCCTCCAACCACACCAGCCCTCTCTAGCTTTGCTTTTGGAATCATTTATCTGCAGGAAATCCAAATCACCGGGACACATGCTAACTGGGCAGAATGCTTGCCAGTTTGCTTGGGGAACAGGAAAAAAGGCAAGTGACTGCATCACTGAGCGTGGCTTGGTCAGGTGCGAGAGCACCTTGTGGCCCATTAGTCAGGGTACTGGAAAGCCCCCCAGCCACTGGCCAGCAGGAGCCACCATTCTAAAAGCAGAACCGATGGCAATGAGGTTCCTGGAGACTGGCCGGCATCCAGTCTCATCCACGGTGTTGTGAGAGCCCCACCCCGCCCTGCCAAGGACACCTCTCTGGACCCATTTCTTTACTGACTGGGGCTTCTTACTCTTTTCCTCCCACCGGGACCTGGGAGACCTGCATCTTGCTAGCTCCCAGGAATCCTGCCGTCCTCCCTGTGGCTTTTTCTGTGTGGGCCCTGTTTCTACTGGGAGGACGCACTAGCTGAGCGCAGACCTCAGGCTGCCTGGCTGCTTGGTCTCTCTGTGCCGAAGGCCCTCCCCCTGAGTCTGTGACAGAAGGACCTGTGTGGGACCCATAGGCCTTGGGCCTAATTCCTCCTCTAGTGTCTGTCCTTCAGAATCTCTGACCCCAGGCCTACCTCCTCTGTGACTCTCACCTCTGGGGAGTCCCCCTCAACCCTCTGCAATGGGTGGGAGCAGGGGTCATGGTGCAGGGGACAAGGCCACAGGAGCTGGCGGAGGGCCCGGGTTCCCGCCTGGGCCAGGCTTTCACCTCGGTCAGGCTCCACTGCTGGGCGTGCTGGCCCCAGAGTGGAGATGTTGCCACGGTCTCCCGGTTGGTGCGAAGCGTGAATAGACACTGCCTGCAGCAGCTTGGCTGCCTGCATGTTGGCGTGCTGCCTGTGCTCTATCGGTAGGTCACTCAGCAACCAGACAGACTGTGCCTACCCCTTACAAGGGTTCCATGTGGTCGAGGGCATGCTGGCCTTTGCAGGTGGGTCCCCCTGCTCTGTGGGGTGGTGTCGAGACACATGTGGTCCCTGGGCCACCCAGAACTGCTCACTACAAATGGGACACAGCCCACCAAAGGCTCAGTTCTGCAGTCTGGGGTCCCGGCTCCCTGTGACAGCTTCTCTGGGTGGACTTGGGAGAGGCCAGGAGGCGCCTGCTGGGACCCTAACCCCCAGGCAGCTGGTGCTGCTGTGGCCCCAGCACTCACTCCCGGTGGGACACCCAGAGACAGCTTCTTTGCTAACTGGCGGCTGTCTTGCTTTCAGATGAGCTTGGAGAATGAGGACAAGCGGGGGCGCACGCGGTCCAAGGCCAGCCGAGGTGAGTGCCCCGAGAGGTGCCCTCGGGGACAAGCAGGCAGGACACACGTCCCCTCAGGCCCCTAGCAGGTGCTCCAGCAGGGCTGGAAGGACTGGCCTGGTACCTGGCCCGTCCCTTTCTGCAGCATGTCTGTCTTCCATGACCCCCCCACCCCCACTGCCCCAAGATGGTCTGGTCTCAGCAGAGACTAGTGGGTGGGCGGGGCTTTGACAGCGAATGGGGCCCTCCCTTGGGCAAGGATGGAGTGTGGCCTATCCCTGGGGTACGTTGAGCTGAGGGGCTGGGTGAGCACCCTGAGATGCTGGCCAGGCCATCCTGGACCCCACTCTTTTGTCCTGGTGGTCACAGGTCCCAGCGGCAGGCTGGCCACATGGCCCTTCCATCCTCCCCTCAGTCTGGTTCAGGTGAACCAGGGCATCTGTCCTGGCCGGAGAAACCCACCTGCAGTCAGAATAGGTCAGGCCAGCCTACATGGCTGACTCTGGGGTGAGGGGGGCACTGGGGCTTCAGGACACAGCCTGCCCCACTGGAGAAGGTTCCAGAAGGCCTGCCGAGTTTGGGCCATCGGCAGATACTCACTGGGGCCGGGAGGAAGTGCATCTGTGCCCTGACTACCTGTGTCTCTCCTCTCACCAGCACCCCTTGAGACCACAGGCACAGACCTCAGGTAAGACGGGGGCTCGTGGGTGGGCACCAGGCTGGGCCTACCCGCCCCTTTCCCAGTGAGTCCCTCCCTCCCCTGCTTTGGTCCAGCCTGGCCACCCCTTACCAGCAGCCTGGGCCCGCCGACTATGCTGGTGCCGTCAGTGCCCCGGGGCGCGTCCTGCCTGCCCAGTCCAACTGCACAGATAAAGCCAGGGCCCGAGGGGGGCCCCTGGGCTGCCAAAGCCTCATTCTAGGGACCTGGGCATGTCACAGACCCTCGCCACCCCCATCGGAAGCCCTGTGAAGTAGGGAAGCTGAGGCTCAGAGGTCAGAGTTCGCTCAACCAGGGGAGCCACGTCCACCTGTGGTCAGCGTGGGGAGGTCGAGGTGGACAGTCCTTGTTCCACAATCCCCCATCAGGCCTTACTCAACACCTTGGGTGTGGGCCCCGAGTGGGGGCACCTAGCACGGGCTGAGTATGAGCTCTGAGTGTGAGCCCATAGTGCTCTGGTGGGGCCTCTGAGGGCACCTGCAGTGTCCACCCTGAAGGCCCCGAGGGGAAGTTGAGACCTGAGGACACTGCCACGTGTCTGGACATAAGGGGAAGTCTTGAGAGTGGTGACGGCAGGGCAGTCTGGTGTCCCCTGGCTAGCAGTGGGAGGAGCAGTGACCCTTGAAATCGACTGTTTCCTTGGAGATGGACAGGCTGCAGGTAGGAGATCACTGAGCCCTGCCTGAGGCCGAGTGTGGCCAGCTGCTTTCCTTTGGCCCTGGCCCAGGTTCTGACTCAGGGCAAGGGGTCACCAGGTGCTGGCTGCGGCCCCTCTGCCTGTGTCCACCTGTGGACACTCTGTGTGCTCCCAGCATCTACCTCCTCAGGGAGTCTCAGGGGAAGGACCCCTGGCATTCGATGGAGCTGCCGCCACAGAATGGGAACCCAGTTCTTGGTGATGCCCTGCCCTGGCTGCTCCCAGCAGACACTTATCCTGGACACATGGCTGCACTGTGCCGATGTCACTATGCAGCTGGATCAGCCTGTGGAAGCATTTATGCATAAATCCAAGTCCCCCAGGCTAGTGCCCAGAGCACCCATGGGAGCTGATGAGGCAATGAGCCCTGACCTGGTAGAGTGTGGTCTGTTGGGAATCACATGTGGGGCTCACACCAAAGACCCATATTTAAGGCTCACACTCAGGGCTCACACTTGGGGCTCAAGTGTGACACTCATGCTGAGAACACAGAGCAGTGTAGGCAGGGCTGAAGGGGAAGCATGGCTGTAGCGCACACTCACCGCTGTGTTCTGGATGCAAACAGGGTGGGACCCCTGCTGGGACAAGCTGCTGTAGGTTCGAGGAAGAGGGCCATGCCCCTGCCCCAGCCCCCTGTGCCCTTGTCCCCTATGGCCTTGCCCCCTGTGCCCCTGCCCCAGCCTCCTGGGCCTCTGTCCCCTGTGCCCTTGCCCCAGCCTCCTGGGCCCCCTGCCCCAGCACCTGTGCCCTTGCCCCCTGTACCCCTGTGCCCTTACCCTCTGTGCCCCTGCCCTCTGTACCCCAGCCCCTGACCCCTGGGGCCCTGCCACCTGTGCCCCCTGCCCAGGCCCCCTGTGCCCCTGCTCTCTGCTCTGGACTGGGGAGGGGCTGTGGAGGCCAGTGCCGTCTCCCACTCCTGAGTCTCCCACTCTGCGAACCCAGTGCCCAAGGAGATTGTGTGGGGAACCAGCCACCCTGCCTGGGCATGGCAAGGTCCCCAGGCCCTTGCCGGGTGGAGGTGGGCCTTGTGGTCACAGCTGCTAGCAGAACCCAGTGGCTGCCTCAGCAGCCCACCCCCACCCTGTGGCTGGGCCCTCGCTTGCCTGCACCTTAATTCTGGTCCCAGTGTGCATCTTCTCCTCATTCCCAGTGGGCAAACCCTTCCTCCCACCCCAGCACCCACCCAGGGGCTCCTTGGCTGCCCAGCTGCTCCATCTCCCCAAGCCCCTTTCACCCAAGCAGGGCAAAGGCCCCACACCCCAGGAGAGGGTGGGAGTATGGCCGTGCGGGTGACATGCTAAGGCAGTCAGCGTCCCTCAGCCCCCACTGCAGCTGGCACCTAATTGCCTGATGAACCTACTGATTAAGTGGCTGCTCCCAAGCTCAGCTTCACGTCCCAGCAACAAGGGCTTTCTGTGAAAAGCCTCAAAGCTGGTCCTTGAGCTCAGCAGGGCGTAGGCGGCCACATGGGGCGGGCACATTAGGGCTGGACATGCGCAGGCCGGGAAGGGGGGCTGATGCAGGTGGTGAGTGTGTGACAACGGCTGCTCCAGGCTCCCCTCCCCTGCTTATGGGCCCCTCCTCCCTCCTTTCTGAGAAAACAAAATTTCTTTTATTTGTGCCACTTTATACAACCAGACTTGTACCTACACACACTCCCCACATGAACACCGGGGCAACACTGCTTGTGTCCTCGCCACACATCAGGGCCTCCCCAGGGAGGTGGGTCCTCTGCCCCTCGTTCACAGATGAGGCCTGTCCGCTGATGAGCTCACAGATACATCTTCGCCAGAGCTTGGTGCCCAGGCAAGGCTGCTGTTCAAATTCTGCGGGGTAGCATCAGTTCAAGTTTAGAAATTATTCCTGGGGATTGGTTACAGGAGTCCCCACTCTCAAGGGGTCCAGTAGTTGGGCTTCTGTATAAGTGTAAGTCCCGGGCCACCATTTGTTTCCTTTTGATCAGGACCGATCAGTTGGTCCCTTGATCAAAATGCCCAGCAGTGGTGGGGGGGCACCGTCCACTCCTGGTCTCCTGTAATGGACGTAACTAGCCTTGTGGCCCACCAGTTTCCCCTGCCCAGGGGCACCTCTTCCTCTGCTGCTCCAGGGCTGGACACACCCTTCTCTCTGTCACCTGATGACGAGGGCAGTACTGGGCCACCGAGGTGGCCCCACTTAGAGGGTTGGCTGTGGGCATGGCACACCCTCTGAGGCTGTGGTAGAACTTGGAGGTGCGTGTCAGGGAGTGTTGATTGGTAGGATGGCTGTCTGCTATGGAGCCCCGGGGACGAGTTTGAAAGGTGCTGACTGCACCTGGGAGAGGTGCCCTGATTTCTTTCTCAGAGGGTGTGGGCTGTGGGGAGCCTGGGCATGACAGCTCCCCTGTTCACAGCAGGCCCAGTGCTTCCCTCTTGAAGGTCCAGCGGTCTAGTGCAGTATCCTCACTGCCCCAGCTAGCTCAGCTCTCTCAGCCTATTGCCTCATGGCAGACCCTTGTGGCACTGGGAACCCCCCCACTGCATCACGTGGCCCCTGGAGGCTCTTGCAGCTGCCCTGCCTACTGCCCAGGCCCAGCTCTGGGCCTGTCCTGCCACATGGTCATGGCCTGGCCTGAGTACCTGGAGCCCCTGTTGGGTGGGTTCCAGTGGGAGCAGGTGGGGAGCAGGGGGGTGCGCTTTCGGAGTCTCCCACCTACTACCCTCCATGCTGTGCTGTGGCCATGGGCCTGGAGCCCCTCTCTATTGGGCACCTCTGGACCAGACAGGGGCAATGACGGGGAGCAGTGAGCCCTCTGGAAGGGGTGCTGGGGCTGGGCTGTTTGTCCACCTGCAGACCCTGGTCATAAAGTACCGGGCGCAGAGGGCTGGCGATGCCCCAGGACCCGGCGCTGTAGTTCACCATCCCAGGACACTGGTGTGAGGGTAGGGCAGTTCATTTGTAGTCCAGGAAGACTGCTGTCTTTGGCTCCCTGGCACACCAGACCCCAGTGACCCCTTTTGTCTCCCCCAGCTGCCCCACCCCGGGCTGCACGGGCTCAGGACACGTCCGGGGAAAGTACTCCAGGCACCGGAGGTGAGGCCCTGGCTGGAGGTGAGGGTTGGGGGGTGGGGTTGCTCGGGCCCTCAGGGATGGCAAAACCTTGCCTCTGCCCTGGTCATGGGGTCAGGCTTGGGCCAGTCCAAGGAGAGCCCATAGCTGCCTGATACACACGGGAACATGTGCTGGGGGTGCATGTGGGTTGTCACTGTCATTTCAATGTCCTTGGCAGGGTCAGGCTCAGTGGGTGTGGGTGCTGGCCTGCATGTGGACCCTCAGATGCCATGGCCTGCAGACAGCAGGAGGGTCGTCAGAGGAGGGCAGGGGAGGGCAGGCTCCCAGCTGTAGGCTGGCTGGGAGGCAGCACAGGGGCCAGGCGAGCAGGGTCATCTTCCTGCAAGTCTGGGCCTGGAGCGAGGGCAGGGAGAGGCTCAAGGCAGCCCCCCCCACCATCTCCAGCTTGCAGAGCTGCCCCCTGGCCAAGAAGCGGAGGCTGGGGGGAGCCGAGGCAGAGCACCTGGTGGCCAAGCGGAAGCCGCAGCCCCTGAAGCTGGCTTTGGATGAGGGATATGGTGTGGACAGTGACAGCAGCGAGGACGCCGAGGTGAAGGACGCCTCTGTCTCCGACGAGTCGGAAGGAACTCTGGAGGGGGATGAGGCGAAGCTGTCCACGCAGGAGGGGACACAGCGCCCTGAGCCAGCTGAAGGTGCTTTGTACTCTTCCGCCTGCAATGAAGGGCGCTCAGTGCCCAGCGGCCTGAGAACAAGGGGTGCTTGTCCAACGTGGTGGGCGTCCTGGGAGAGGGGCTGCTGGGGGTGTGCCCCACGCTGTATGTTTGTGTGCCTCTGAGTGTGTGTCTATGCATGTCTGTGTCTGTGTGTATCTGTGTGTCTGTAGGTGTGTGTGCCTTTGTATGTGTCTGTATGTTCCTCTGTGTGTGTGTGTGCGCATATGGCCTCTGTGTGAGTCTCTGCGTGTCTGTCTGTCTGTGTATATATGCATGTCTGTATGTGTTTGTATGTGTGTCTCTGCATGTCTGTGTGTGTTTGTGTCTGTGCATGTCTGTGTTTGTGTATGTCTCTGCGTGTTTCAGCATATCTCTGTGTCTATGCATGTCTGTGTGTGCTTCTGTATGTGTGTATGTGCCTCGGTGTGTGTCCATATGTGAGTCTGTCTGTGTGGTGTTTGTGCACAGAGAGGTGGGGTCAGGGGCTTGAGACCTCTGATGCTTGACCCTCTGTGGGAGCGTGGGACAGGTCAGATGCCGGCAGGCCCCGAGGGGCTCTCCACAGAGATCAGTGCTTGGTGATGTAGCATGGGATCTTCTGAAGGTGGGGGCAGGGAGGGGAGGTGGGCTGGGAAGGAGAGAATCTGCCTGCACCCTTTCCCTTTGTGTACCCAACAACTAGCCATGTGGACACCCAGATAAGGCAGTGAGGTCAGAGGGTGTCCTGGCCCTGAGGAAGTGATTGTGTCCCCAGGCCAGTGCTCTCTCATCCACATCCTCATTGGCTGTCCCCAGTTCCCAGTAGAGAGGTCCCTCAATGGGCTGTACTGTCGACCATTCCTAGGCCCTGGTTGTCTAGGGCTAGTGATGCAGAAACACAGACACACAGACATACAAACGCAGTCACAGTCAGGCACACAGACACAGACAGACACACAGATGCAGACAGATACACAGTATAGGCACAAAGACACAGACAGACACAAAAGCAGATACACAAACAGACACAGATATAGACACAAAGACAGACAGACCCAGACACAGGCACAGAGAGACATGCAGACACAGACAGACACACAGATGCAGAGGCCAGGCTGAGGCAAAGACCACAGGAGCCCTCTCTGGCCCCCAGTCCCTCTGGCTCTGCTGTCACAGGAGGGTGATGGGGCCCCCAGGCGCTGTGGATCCAGCTGCCTACATTAGTGACCTGACCCGCAGGAAGGAGCCCAGATGCGACCCCGTTTGCGCTCAGCCCCCAAGGCAGCCCGGCGAGCGCTCCCAAGGGAGGCTACAGCAGTTACCAGGAGATCATCGCCACATCCCTCCTCCACCTGGGTCGGATCGCGGAGGGGACTCTAGCTGCTGAGGACCAGGGCCAGCCGGAGGCTGAGGACGGGGCGGCGAGTCGAGAGGGCGAGAAGGACGTCTTCATTCAGCCCGAGGACGCCGAAGAGGTCGTTGAGGCCACCGGGGAGCAGCCCCAGGAGCTGGGTCCTG